TTTTAAATGCGAGAAAGATATAAACCACTGCCTGCATATTATATTAGTATTACCACTACATGTATAACGTTATATACATACAAATTGTATGCACAAATGTCCTACTAACTACTAGTAATGTTAGTTTAGTTCAAAATGATGTAAAAATGGCAAATAATGTAAATTTGGTAACAAATGTCCTTGATCTTTTGCCATGATTAAAATGACGCTGGGCTAATATTCTGACCAAGGCTATCCCAAGGGCTCATCCATTGTGTATGTTATGGGGTGGGGTGGGTTCAGCCCAGAATCTGGCTAACATAACAAGAATTTAGAATATCTTCATGACGAATGCACTTTGGGCCACAGAAATTTTATAACAAGTAAGTTAGAATGTCCAAAACTGTAAGACTGATAGGCGTGCAATTCAGTCTTCCTATCTCTAATTCTAATTAAAGTCTAAATTGCAAAGTTCTCAGCTAAATCAATTTAGACATGTTGGTGCTCTAACTTTGTAACAAAGTAAGGGCTCAAAATTCATTCGGGGCACCTAACCTGTAAATTTAGGTCCACAGAATAAAAATTGGATGCACAACATAGAAGTAAGTCAGCAAAACGTAATTACTAACCTTGCTGCTTCTCTTCAGAGCCAGAATCTTAAATTCTGTGGCTAACTTAAAAATTCTAAGCATGTCAAACAACAAAGGTTTTATTAGTTATTACATGTATGTTTTCTGACACATGTACAATTATAATACCTAAAGCTAAACCTACACGAATATCTAGGTGCACCAATGGTTTCTAGTTTCGAAATTAGGTACCCCGGTACGCCCCTAGATTTCCAGTCCTGGCTGTACATGTATGTGGTACCAGGCGGCCTGTATAGGGACCTCAAATTCACACCTGACTAGAATTGAGTAGAAAAGGTGCGCATGGCTTCACTCCTGTTTACCACGGAGGATATCATCTAGACAAGCAGAAAAGCTGGTCAAACAATGTCTGGTTTAGCACACAAATTTCCCTGTAGCCATCCTCTCTCAGCTAAAACTTCTTCCTACTACCAACATCACGTAAAACAAAACAAAATGTTGGTGGAGTTTTTAGCCATGTAAAATTCTGTCGAATCACTGTGAGAATCTTCATCATTGTTTAGACTGCAAGTTATTGGAAGTCAGTACTAGTAGCTGGATGTCAGATCACAGACACTGCTAGGTCGAAGGTGAAGGTCAAAGGTGAAGGGCCCTAACCTGTAAACAGTTCATAACTTAGTTCTTTTCTAAGACTAAACTATGCATGACATTCTAGCTGCAAATTTTTTCCTCACATGAAAAGATATGCACCCATGCCCATTTTCCCAAAAGGTACAATTTTCCATACATTACTTCCATTCTATAATATACTGAAATCAAGAAGTTACATGCTAACTGTCTTGTTTTTCGGTCTTGTTTTATATGCCAGTGTTTATTTGACACGTTGATCAAACTGCATTTTAATAGGAAGAATGTTTAAATAGGAAGACATACCCAGAGAAGAAAAAACAGCTTTTTTTATGGTTCTCTCTTCATCATGTTCTCATTTTCCCAACTTTCCCTCTTCATCATTCATGTTCCCATTTTAATTGTGTGTGTTCCTAAAATGCCATCATGGGGTGAGCGCGTTTTACGATTCCCAAGTACACATGGGTGATGTCATTTATTTGACTCATAACAGAATCATGTTGACACTGCCATGTCATGTGACAGCCTTTGTTCAGAAGTGTCCCCTGACACATGCTGAAGTCTAAAGGGACACTTTGGACATGTGACATCATGGCTGTTATCGTGACAACGAAACAAGTTGTTGCTGTATCTTTTCAAAATCAAACCGAAAAAATCCTCTGAACAATCCTTACTTTCAATTTTCACACCTGTATGAGACATCTTAGCACTTTATCTATGTTTTTAATCTGCCTGCAAGAGAGTGTAAACAACCTTTTTTCAAACGCTAATGAACCTGGTATTTATACGCAGATTAAGAAGCCAGCGGGGAAGCCTTAAGCCACAACATCTGCAAGAATGTACGATACTGATAAGAGCAGTACTGATTGTGACTTGTTTATACCACCTTCACACAAAAAACAACACTGTTTACTGACAGTTACATGCACACTGTCACAACCAGCTGCTGGGGAAAGTGACAACAATAACCAGAAGACTCATCAGTCAATGATAACCACAATAATACGGCGACAACATCTGCTTTTACTCTATTCTTCTTTATGCTCACCGAAGTTCGATCTAAAGCCAAGGAGGTCGAAAGACAGGGAATTGACCTCCTTCATCTGACTAGTCATTTTGAGAGTGATTTACTTTCTGATGGAAGTCTGTTGTCTGGTTTACTGCCAAAGTGGACAAATTGCCCCGTGAGTGGTGCAAATTATGGTGCCAAATCAAATGCTTCACTTCTTCAACCTTTGACCCCCCTCCCTCCCTTCAGGGTCCTTTCCCAGAAAAGGGCAAGCAATCCTTCAAAACGTCCTGATTCAATCCAAAGTCCAGCGCTTTGCGGTCTAGGTACAAATATAGAGATGTCTGAGTTATATCGGACGTTACAATTCCCACAGCTCAGATCGTTTTTCTGATGTAGAAGGTTGATAGGTCCGGCATCTCAACAAATACGCCCCTCGGATTCATATCCGAGATAGCTCACATGACAGAAAATGGCCACTATATTCCCTAAAGCAGGTACCTATTTCGCCCGAAACGCGCGTTATTATCTTCAACTACAAGTAAATAAATCATCTAGAGGATATCATTTAGGCCGCAAAAAGTTTGAAAGAGTTTGACTGGTTTTGAAGGCCGGTAGTTGCCTGAAGGATCTCTCAACACCGGTCCTTCTACAGGAACAGGAAGTAGTCGTCTCTCTACCTCAATCTTAATCGTTTCGACTCTAGAAAAACGGAACACTCTAACGCCGCCGAAATACGGTTAACTTCCTGTTGGGTATCTATGTTACGGATTAGGATGGGATATATCCTCCAGTCTCGCAGAAAAATACGTGAGAAATCACCTTTTCTTGGTCGGATATGGGATCTTCATATTCGTCAGCCATCTTGGATGTCTCCGAACACGCCTTGTTCGCGATGGCTGCTGGGTAGCTCGCCCGCACTTCCGGTCGCCTCTCTCGTCCTTTCCGCTGGCGCGCTCTCGTTCTCAGGTCTTTGTCCTCAGCCTGTACGCTAAAACACCACAATCTTTTCATCTCTTGGCGCCTTTTCTCGGCTTTCCTCGCCCCTGCCGTGCCCGAGGAACGGTCACTGGCGGCTGAGAACACAGAGAATCACTGGAACCCGATCTCCTTTGTTGTCCTCCATGTTGAAAGGTGTTCCTAGGGGTTGTAGGTGCACATTTCCCCATCCACCCAGCATCCTGGCACCTCTGGTACCACCCTAGTTCCCGCCCTCCTCCACCTGCTCCCTCTGGGTTTGCAAATTTCCTCTGACTGACGGGCCAATGAGTTCGCCCTGACGTATGTAACCAGCCAGGAACCCTTTCAGCTCCCTCCAACGTTAACAATCATCAATAGGCACTTTTCCCAGCGTGGAAATAACGGCTTAACGGCGCTGTAAAGAGGTTCACACGGCAGGGACTCTGACGAGATGCCGGGTAAGCCGCTGGTGTGCAGCATCCGTAATCCCCATCCCATCACCATCGGGGATCCCCGCGCTGAGTTCTCCAGCGGCTGTGCCGTGGTCGACGTGACTTTCCCCAGCACCAAAAGTGTGGATGTAAGTGGCGGGACGGGCGGGATCATCATGTAGGGGCCTTCATGAATTATTCCGAGGCGTGCGTCCGATAGGGGTTTAATTGCTGGTATCTAGAGACTTTAATCTTGATTACAATGGATGGCAGATTGAGCTTTTTGGAGAATTCTCTCCCGTAATTTGCTGCCCGCTTTTATTGCCGAGGTCAAGCAGGAAGGGTGAGAAATGCAGAGTGATAAGTTGTGAGAGACTATTTATCGCCAGCTCAAACTGGCAGTGTTTCAGCTACACAGTGGTGCTTTATCACGTTTAAAGGCTTTCCATATACCATGCTTGGGAGCAGATCCTCTGGTTGCTATGGTAACAATAGGATTGTAAGAGCTGAATGGAGATAAAGCTTTAACGTTAGATGTGTTCAGGCTGGTGATATTTTCACACAATTTCATGGATAAACTTTCATAAAGATTTCAGGAAAAAGTGATTTGGAATACTTCTCAAATTTTCTGATCAATTAAGGCCGCAACAAATTTTTCATTGCATTACATAAATTTACATCTATCTTAGTATTCTTACAAAATATAAAATATAATATGATACCGGTAGCTCGCACTTTTCTTAAATTGAACCATGATGATAATCATTTATGATAAAATCATAACTGCATCATGCAGTTTCATCAAAATGAAGTTTTGACCAACTAGCTGCACTATGTAAAATTAATATGATACCCGGTACTGTGGTGGTACATAACGTTAGAGCTTTGATGTATTACTTGTTATTCTGTGCATATTGCAACAAGGAAATGTTGAAAATTGATTTGAATAGGAAATTGGGCAATTTTGCACAGACACGCTTTCATTTCCACAAAATATTATGGCTGCTAATATCATTTGGGTAGGAATCAAGGATCAGAATAAAGCACAGTGTTTTATTGGGCAACATTCTCTGCTATATATGAAGTAGGGTAAAATGAAAAGAGACCAAATGGTTTTCAGATATTACATTTTCAAATAGTGCTAAAAATATAAATTCCAATTTATAAGTAATAAGTACAGTTTTTCACATGGCAAACAGAAATTTAATGTTGCTTTGAACATTTCGTTTATACATATATATAAAATACAAGTACAGTAACTGTTAAGCATTTAAAAAATGTGTATAGAGTTCACCTTTGTTTTGCAAACAATGAGGAGGATCTCCACTGAGATTTTGTTATGAGTGCCTCTGGATCAATATCTGTCAGCACACATTTCTGTTTTATACATCCCAAAAGCATAGAACGTTAGATCATCATTTCTAAGCAAATGAAGTTTTGATAGCTTTTGCCTGCAGGAAATTTCAAATCTAGGACATCATTTAAAATTTTACAGTAGGAAGAGGACAAAAGTAATAGCTGTGACATTCATTCCTGGGTTGTCATTGTTCTTATGAAAAACCATGAGGGGAAAGAGCTAAATGGATTTTACTGTACATGTATGTAGCCGAGGGTTTGAAGTTTATTTTTGGATAAAATATAGATATACCTTTTGTATGGACTTTGTAAGTGCTAGTATAGTGAGGCCTGATCCATGTAGAGATATTAGATAGGTTGCTTTTGAAATGGGTGACAAAGTGAGTCAAAAAGACAGCACTGTGACATACACAAATGCAGTATTGGTACATGTATATAGGCTAATGAATTTTACATGTGTCAGATAGGCATGATGGTACTTTTTATCAGTGAATGAATACAACACACAAGACTCAGTTTTGCAGTAGAAGGGGAATGAAGTGTTTGAAGTTCACAGCTCAAATGATTCTGTAATACAGTCGTAATACGAAAATTGGAAATGCATATTGACAGTATCATGAACACCCCCACATTTGAAGATTTACAGTATTTGTTATAGCTTCTCTTGTGGATATCGTCAACATTTCTATCTGCTATAGTTAGGATCTAGGTTTGTGCCAAATTTGTGAAAAGCAGATCTATATTCCTGCCATTCTTTATTCGATAGTAATTTGTCATGGGAAATAGGAATGTTACTGGTAATGGATTTGTAACTCAATAACCATACAGGACTAATATTGTTCCTGCAGTTCTACAGCAGATGGGATGACTTTAATGAGAAAAGATAGAACATAAGCCTGCTTAATTCACAGATATGCTGGCCACTCTATTTTGAAGTATACCATATTATGTTAGAGAGTCATATTATTTCCAAATATTGGAGCTCACTATACACCAGAAGTTAGTCGCTAATTTGCTTTGATACATGTACTTTTTTTTGGCAAAATTAATTTTGATGCACGTGTCGAGGTAGATTAATTATTTTAAGAAAACTAAATGTACTGGTAAACATGGTGTAAAACTAATCCTACATTGTAATATACTAGTACCAAATAATTTTCTGTGCCAGGATGGTCTTTCAGTTGCAGCGACCTTTATGACATAATTGTCTTTCTCCAACAAGCTTCAGTAGAATATACATGTACCTCAAATCTATGATATAAACTAGAATGATTTTGACAGTAATTGATATCCATTTGTATGTGCTCTTCTTTGGAAGACTAAAAATCTGTTACAAATGACAGTACAACTTGTGGGACAGTGTTGAGTGTGGTTATATAGGCTGACATTTGGTGTTCATACAAAGGTAATGTGTCTACTGAATTTTACATGAGTTCCATTACCGGTCACCAGGCATGGTGTCTGGGGCCAGGCAAGTGTTGTGGGGCCACAATGGCCCTTTCTCCCTGCAGACTTCTGTATCAAAGTATTGTAAATTCACCTACTTTGTTACCTCCATGAAAAATGGAGGTATTGTTTTTGGCGTGTCTGTCTGTATGTATGTATGTATGTGTGTCTGTCTGTCTGTCTGTCTGTCTGTCTGTGTTTCCGCAACTTTGTGGTCGGCATAACTTCAGAACGCCTTTATGGATTATGATGATATTTGGTATGTTAGTTAGTCTTAGGAAGACAAACGTCAAGGTCAAATATGGGCCTCCTGGTGGATGACCTTGGTACTGCAGCAGAACTTCCGGTTTTTGTATCTTTTGTCCTGAACATGCTATGGTCTTGATGTTTTGGTGACAGATTGCTTTTCCTGTCAGGAATAAGTGGTGTGAGTTTGGTCCCCCTAGCAGCTTGTTTTGGAACTGCAGGGCACTTTCTGGCGAAATGTTTAAAAGCCAATAAGTCCAGATAGGAACAACATATTTTCATAATTTTTGGTGTGTAGGTAGCTAAGAGAGAGATGTACATGATTAAATGCAAATTATGCAAATGAGGACTTTATTTGCATAATTAATGAGGAAATTCTATGATTACAGTGTTTTACATTATACTACTTTCATACATGTAATGTATGTAACCTATGGCAGGCAGAACATCAACAGATACTAATTATGCAAATTATGACCTAATTTGCATAATTTATGCAAAAATTCTATGATTTCTTAATGGTGAATAATGGGAATGTCATACTTTGGACATCTGTAAGTTAATCAAAAGTTAACATACATCACGATGCATATATCATGTAAATGCGGAGGTAATTTGCATAATTAAAGAGGAAATTTACATTTACATATCAAGCCCATATTTCATGGAGGTATGAAATCTCGGAATTCTTGTTTTCATTTGTGATAGGAGGGAAAGGTACTTTTTTTGCATGTGTAGTGTTTTAAATTTACAGTTGTCATACATTACATTGGAAGTGCATTTTTGCAGTGTCATAAATTCTTGGTAGAGAGGTCAAAGAAAATGTTTCAATTCAAGGATTTTTAAACCATGGTACATTTTGTCTTCCAGATCGGGGAAATCACCTTCAAGAACAACTACACTGCCCTCCTGTCAATTAAACTCAAGGTTAGGGAGGAAAATGAAAAAGGTAAAAAGCTTTCCATTTGAATTCTATACATGTTCATTTTCATTTCTTTGTTTCTTTCAGCCAATGCCCTACATTTGCTGAATCTGCATGTTTTCACTCCATATAATATATAGGCTTCTGACAAAGACACAACACTCCTTCTTATCAGACCTTTCAACTCAATGTCTGATTGATGTTGTCTTAAATTAAGATCAGCGACACTATTGGCGAGGCAGGTTTGATACCTTTAAAATCAATATAGTCATTCACAGGATGTAGCCTACAGCCTTCAACAAGTGAAAAGGGCTATCAATATGTATTACTGTAAATGTTGGAGTGGAAATGGAGTGAAGATGTAATGTACCCACATTAGCATGCAATCACTAGTAAGGAGTTAGCAGTAAATTGCTATATGCCAAGTGTGAATGTATATGGTCTCTGCAACCATATGGTAAACATACTAGTATCTTGTAGCCTTAACTTAAGTTAACTGTGATTTTGTTACTTGTCATATTTTTTCCTTTTTTAGCAGCATGGAACAAAACTATATACAGGCAATATTTGTTAATTTATTGAGCCACTGTGTAAAAAAAAAAAGAACAAAAATCATTGCAAAGTCATTAACCGTTAACTTTTCCTGGCCAAGGGTTTAACCACCATCAGGCACTGTTGAATCCAGGAGAACTCCATAAACGCAGACATATCTGTACCGAGGGACGTCATTATTACTGTCCCTGTGGGCCTCTTAGTACATCACAGCATCATAGTGCCTTTGGATGTGGCGCCAGTGATTCACATTATTACTGCTGGCAGTATTAATGCCACAAAGCTGCAGCCGGCACTGCAATGACATAACTCATGTGACAAGCATAAGAAATGACTATGAACAGAAATGTCAACATAGCTAAAAGACATACATTTGTACTAGTATATGTTACTGTCATTATATTTCACACTTATTACTTTTACCCAAATACATGTAACTTGCCACATCAATATATCTTACAAGGACAGTAGTTTTTCCCTTCAGAAATTCTAATGATCTATACTATATGTGTACCAACTAACTTTACCTGTACTATCAAATTGCATAGCATAACATATAGCAGATATAATGTTGAAGTTGTCTCATCCTGGTTTGTGTAGAAAATGTCATAGGTCATTGTAGTATATTGCAAAGTCCTTTGACATCATATACACAAACGTTATGAAACAACAGCAATGTTTGGACTACTAATGATCATCCATGGAAATTATTATTGCTCAATGTGTTCTCTTCAATGTTGTTCATGTTTTCTATATTAGACCACCTGTTAGGCAGTAATAAATTAGATTTTTACACAATGTCCTCTTTTTTCCTTCAATGCTGTCAGAAGTGGAGGATCAAGCTGAGATTGATGGTGTCTGCAGACTTTTGTATTTCATTCTCTACACTCCATTAAGAAAATTACTTTAGTCACCGGCCCACAGGAAGATTTATTGTTAATCATAACTGGCATTTTTTCCCAACTTGAACCCATTTTCTCACAAACCAGTAAATGCTCCTGAGGAAATTGCAACATAGATCTCAAGAACTGTCATGTCAATAAGCTCTCAGTCCAAAAGTTTTTGTTTGTTACACTTCTTACCCTGCACTTTCAGGCACATGTGCATTTGCATGCTGACAATCTTCAGATAACACTCTTTCATAGGACAATTGAACTGAAAATTACAAAAATAGATTTTAGAATTTAACCAGAGACTACACGTAAAATAAGACCAAATTAAGACCAGATTGAAATTGTAAAATTTGGATCGAAGCTATTTTTTCTTGTCTTACACAAGTATTTCTAGGTGCATTGCATTACAAAATCTTTTCATTACAGATAAAAATGCACTTAATGAGCACATGCACACACATAGCGTGGCTGATTATGTTATCTTAGTCCATATACCCTAGTTCACAGTTCTAGGCATCCGTGCGCAGTGTGATGCATTGTGGGTGATACGGGAATTCAAAGTTGGAGGCCCCTGGCAATACATACAAAATGGCCTGGTGCCTTCAACTTTGACATCACTCACACTATGCATGACATTCAACGTGCCCAGTTTGAACTGTGAAGTAGCTTATTATGATGCCCTCTGACCCCAGGTGAGACTACTCTAACATGGGTGACGGCGCTGAAGAATGTCCAGCTGATGCCTGACCCACACTGTGAAGACCGCGCTCAGAGCTACTTCTGTATCAAGAGAGACCAGGTTTGTATCTATTGTACTGTAAAATCCCTTTATCTTTGCTGCAACTTGATTTTGTGATAGAAGGACAAAGGAGGTCAATGCTGTGTTTTAAGGTTGCGTTTAAACCATTCTGCAGTATCCAACTATTGACGGCATTATATCCAAATCATGAGCCATGGCTACTAGCCTAGGAACAAAAAGGCTGCTTTTTTTTTTAGGAAAGAGGCAGATGGCAGAAAATCTCTACCACATCTGCCAACATTGAAGATAGAATTACATACAGCAGGGTGTAATCATAGTTAATGCCAGCGGAGTGCCATGATTCATACATATGATTTTATCTATGACAAGTTCAATATATTCCATGTTCAATATATTACACAGATATTACCCAGGACTGTTACTAACATGATGCATGTGGTACCCAATAATTCTTCATCATCATTACTGACACTGGTGCTGGTCTACACTGTAGATTAGTAATGAAGTTCATGTATGTGCACTACAGCTACAAGCTGCCGTGAGGCATTGCTAATACATGCTTACTCCATACTTTTATTGTTGGTGTCAATGAACACTGTTCATATGTGCATACATTAAGTATATGAGTCTATGACTATACTTTACTCGTATAGCGTCTAACAAGTGACAGCTGCAAAGACATGGCATCATGCATAAGAAAAAAAAGATACCAAAATGTTGCTGTTGTATTACAGCTGCTTCGGGCCCCACCAGAC